AGTGAAGAGTATCTCGGGGCTGCATGGAAGGGATGCCGAGAACACGGCTTAGTGTGAAGGCTGGGATGCCACACGGGTTTGAATCCTGGCTCCCCCCATGCCTCAGTTTCTACCTCACAAGCTGGAAAGAGCCAGGCTCTGGGCCAGACCCCCACGGCAGTGCTGGAACACGAGGGGCGTCCTCAGACGCCAGCTAGCACAGCTCTATTCCCAACAAACTTGTGAAAGTGCACATACAGGTGACTGAAAGGTCGTCACCTTCCCGACTCTTCTCTAGAGAATCAGATTATTTTGAAGACATGAATGATCTGAATGATTGCTTTTCCTCTAAACTAAAGGAGTAAAGAAGAAGCTGACCCAGAAGCCAGGAAACCAACAAAGAGAGCCTAAGCCAGTCTTAGCCAAATAGGAGAGCCTGAGGGACTGAGGACGGAGGTTACCCAATACATCTGTTAAGTAAAATAGAGACAGGGGGAAGGCCGTCCGTTAAAATTAATTAAAAGCTTTTACTTATCTGATGCTGACCTCATGCTCCAGGTGCCTGGAACAAAAAAAGTAAGAGAGAGTCACTGGGGAGTCATGACCCTTGTGGTTACCCGGTCAGGACCTGAAGTCATGGTCTCTGTGGACAAGAGAGGAGGCCGGAGGCCTGAGGCCTGGCGAAGAGCTGCCTGGGCCCCTCTCCCTCCATCTCATCCATTAGCATGTCCCCAGTGGGTCCCACTGCCAAGCCTCCACTTCTCACCTGGGATCTGCACAGCCTCAGGAAGAGGGCTTTGTGTTTGCCACCGTCTGAAAGCACCTTGTCTTGACTTTCCTACTTGGTTTCCGGGTCCTTCCCGTGTCTTTTTTGCCAATGGCCGGTGCAGGCATGGCCCAGTAAGCCTTCGTGCCGTGGATTGTGGTTCTCAAGCTAGCGCTCTCTCCTCTTCCCTAGGGGACATCTACCCAGTTGATACAAAAGTGAGATCCTTTGTAGGTCTACCCGACAACCTTGTGCTAACCTCCTTCAGATCATAGCAGACTTCAGAGTTGAAAAAGGTAATAGGCCTGGGGTGTAGCTCACATGGTAGAGCGCCTGCCTAGCCAGTGTGAAGCCCGGAGTTCAAACCCCAGTGCTGACCAAAAACAAAGAACGGTGATCATTTCCTTCCTTGAAGGAACAGAGGGCAGAGGATGGCATTTCATGATTTCTTCCTGGACTGATTTTATGCTTTTCAGGCAGGCTGACAGTTCTCAGCAGTTGTTCCCATCTGTCTCCCTTCATGTCGGCCCTGCCTCAGGTCTGGGATCCTCCTGGGGTCTGACCTTACTTGGTCTCGCACAAGTCGATTTTCCTGGTATTGACTCTTAGGACTTGGGGGCATTTGGCTTTATGGCACAGTACTGCAACCCAGGAGACATGGCCTCCACTGCTTCTTAGATGAGTACGACCTGCCATTGATATCCACAAGGATTGGTTCCAGGACCCCTGTGGGTACCCAAACCTGGCATGCTCAGGTCTCCTGATAGAAAATGGCACTCACATAACCTACACACATCCTCCCACACGCTGCAAGTCATCCCAGGTGACTGGTAATGCCTGATACAACACAAATGTGTGTAAATGGCTATTACACTGCATCGCTCAGGGAAACCACAAGGGAGAGAAAGTCTGTGTCCAGGACCAGTGTCTTTTTTTCTTAAATCTTTTTGATCCTTGGACTGCAGGTTCTGTGGATGTGGAAGACAGACTGTACTTGACCCTCCCCTTCCCTCCACACAGTTGATTGGATCAAGGGTGTTCACCCCAAGATCATCTGTAGTGTGCCTGAGACAACACACAGGGAAACAACAGAGCGGCCAAGCCAAGGTGAAGCCAAGCCAAGGTGAAGGTCAAGCCAAGGAGGAGGAGGCTGGCCAGAGGGACGCTGCTCTTACCACTGGGTGCTAGAATCATCCTGACTTGTCAAAGGCACCTGGGTTTCTGGGAGCTTGTCACTTGTCACTCCATTGTTGTACCTTGATCAACCTTCTTTGCCTGATTGTCCTACGTGGTTTGCTGTTATTTATGGGCTCTCAAAAAAAATTCCCAACCTCAGATAAGTTCTACTGCCAACGACTGGGGCCACACCAGCGGGAGCACCATGTTAGGCCATGGGTGGTGAGGGGCAGCTGGAGCGGTGTCCAAGAGCTCTGTCCACAGCGGAGGGTCTGGGCTGCATTTCCTTTTTCAAAATAGTATCCAAAATTTTAAGTATAATTTTTACAAACACATTTAAAACTGCATTATATGCAGGCTGGGTATCCTTATCTAAATTTCTTAGAACCAGAACTGTTTTGGATTTTGAATTTTTTAAAATCTTTGTATACACATAATGAGGTATCTTAGGGATAGGTTACAGGTTTGCAAATTCATTTTCTTTTCTTTCTTTCTTTTTTCTTTTTTGAGACAGGATCTCTCTATGCAGCCCAAGCTGGTCTCAAAGTCTAGATCCTCTTTCCCAGATTCTGGGATGACTGTTTCTTATACAGTAGGTAGGTGTTCTACCACTTGAGCCACTCCTCCAATCCTTGTTTGCTTTGTTTCAGGGAGAGTCTTGAGTTTTTGCCTGGTCCAGCTTAGACCCAGAGCCTCCTATTTCCACCTCCCATGTAGCTGGGACTACAGGCATGCATCATCGTGCCTGGCCCTTGAAGATAATTTTATATAATATTTTTAGTGCACCTACATTTCAACTGTGGAATGTGGTACACTTGTGGCCGTGTGCAAGTGCTCAGAGAGTATCAGATTTTGAGCATTGGGTGCAAAACCTGTATTATGTACAATATAATGTGTGCTAAATATAGACACAGACGCATTGCAGAAACAGTAGAATTTTGACGTGGATGGGGACTGGTGTTAGGGTAACACGTGAAGAGCACAGGTACACGGTTTTGGTTCGGCACAGCCGCGGTCCTGGACGGCAACGCAGGAGGCAGCAGCCCCTCCCCCCAGCTCTTGCTACACAGCTGTGAAGAGGAAACACGGGCTCTGGTTCCCATCCCTGCCACGTGTCCAAAGTGGAAAAATTGTGGTCATAACTTCAAGACTTTTTCCATCCCAGACGACAATCGATTAATTCCTCTGGGCCATTCCCTGCATGACAGACATCCTCTGAGATTAGCTTAATGGGAGCCCTCATCATTTTCCAAAGAGTTTGGTAGTTTTAATGATTGGCACATATATAATGACTCCATTAAAATAGGAAATGAAAAAATCATAGGATGGGGACCATAAATAACTACAGGGAGGTGGCCAAATTCCAACAATGAACAACTGAACACCAAGCGTCCTGGAGGTGAAGGGAACGCTTAGAGAGAAGTGATCTTTAATTGTGGGATTAATTGAGGGGGGGGCTTTTTCTTGGCACAGGTTGAAAGCCGGTCACACACAATCTCCTTTTCTCGTATGCAGTCCTGCTCCGTGCAAGCAGCACACCCGCACTTCATCCTCCACTCGGGTGACCTCACCACCGACACCAGCAGAGCAGAGCTGGTCCCTCACCTGGTTTTGTTCTTGATTTTTTTGTCCATGTCTTGCAGGTTTTCTCACAGGAGAGCTAAGTCTTTGTGCTGCTATAAGAAAATGTCTTCCAAACAGTGGAAACGCACAGTAAGCTCACTTTATTCATGGATTATTACACATGGTTTTGACCATGCTGGGTCAAAACAATAATAAATTTTTAAAAAAAAAAATCAAAAGAAACTTTGGACACAAGAATTTTAAATTGCTACAAGCTCAGGGGATGCAAAGAAGCTCCCACGTTTAAATCATTTTGTGATTCTTCGTTTTGTGAAAATCTGCCTCAGAAAAGCAAATGGTGCCCAAAGAGCAAGGTTAAAGTTAGGTCATCCTTGCAAGTCAAAAAAGGGCACACAATGTGCTTGACTTGAAGTGGTCAAGTGACAATCTGAGATCTGTTGGAAGGTGGCATGCCTTTGGTGGAAGGTGGTCTGCGTGATGGGAAAATCCATCAGCACAGCCCTGAGTTCTGCATCCTGAGCCCGTGTGGGGTTAATGGCAGCTGATATCACTGAGGTTCTGGGGCCCGGGAAGCCCACGCGCAGGCACCAGAAGACTTGGTGACCAGGGTCTGCCCCCCACACTGCTCCCTCAGGCTGTGTCCCGGCCTGGCAGAAGGGGCAGAAGACTCCTGGAGCCTCCTTTGTAAGGGTCCTAACCCCAGTCCCCCACAGCCCTGGCACCCGAATCCCACGACACTGACACTGCATGTTGAACTCCATCCCTCGGGTTTGAGGGAACATCAACACTCAGCTCTTCCTTAGTCACGGGCCGGGCCGTAATTTATTGAACCAGAGCCCTCCTGACACCACTTGGGTGGCTTCTGTCCCCTATGCTGCTGTAACTGGAGTTTCAGTGAATGGCCTGTGTATGTGTGAGTCCACGCGTGTGCAAGTGAAGCTGTGAGAGAAGCAATAGGAAATGCACTCGTGAGTCTGACAGCTGCCAGCCAGCGACCCGGCACGAGCTCCTCCACCCCCCTGCTAGCAGCACAGTCAGAGGGGCCAGCCGCTCTGGGGACTCGAACCAGCACCCTGTGGCACTGTAGGGAGCGAGAGCACGGTGAGGAGGAGGAGGTCGGCAGGACCTGCTCCCTCTGCGTCCCTTCCCACGCCCTGCCACCCCGGGCACCGGGCACACTCGGTTTTCACAAAGGGGGATGCATAGTCTCAGAGAGGCTAAGGAAGTTTGTCCAGCGCCCCCAGTAAGTGGGAGAGAAGCATGGTGACCTCTGGCTGACCTTGAAGTCCTGTCGGTCCCCTGGGGCTGCAGCGTGGTGCAGGAGAGCATCTCTGCGAGCCCCGGTCTGTGTCTGCGTTCATGAACACCATGCACCATGGGGACCATTTGCCAACCTCTTTATTTTCTTGCAGGCCTTCAATTTCAAGTGTGAGAGCTTGGCCTTGTTCTCCCCCCAGAGTTGCCCTGCACCCGTCCTGGTGCCCTCACAAGTCCCTCACAAGTGACTCCTATGGGCGGAGCAGGGGTCCTCTGGGTGTGGCTCCCCCAGAAGAGCGTCCAGCCAAAACTCTAGGTCGCGCACCAGCTGTTCTAGCTCCCGCACCTCCTCCTCTACCTTCTCCAGGAACACGTGCAAGTTCTTTTTCAGCCAGTTCCTCAGGACCGTGGTCGGCTCACCAGTGGGCTCACTGGGGTGATATTCAAACCCCTGAAAGGCAGACACCAAAGCTGTATTTTGAGATTTTTCACATGGGTGTTCTGTTCCAGAAAGTCCCCTGGGCCTTTGCACATGCTACTGGTTCTTCCTAGAGTACCCGTTCCAACCTCTTCCATCTGGCCAGCTCCTATTTAGCTGTCTGGACTCAGCTTGCCAACAACATCTCCTCTGGGAAGGCTTCCTGGGTTCCCACACCCCCGCTGCCCCCTCAGGCACTCTTGAATGTTACCTGGGAAACCACGGGATCCTGGGGGTAGTTACACTCTCTGGCCATTTCTGACACATCCCAACTTCTCCCTGAAACAGGCACAAACGCCTTCAGCAATGAACACAGTTGGTCTCCCCCCTGGGAATGGGGAGGGGGACAGGGACAGGTGTCCACCTAAAATCCCCTGCCTGATTCCCAGTGGACTTGGTTTCTCCCTTTTCAGATTCCAGTGCTCACCTGAGATCCCTGTGCCCAAGTACAGTACCAAGGCCAGCAAGGCCAACAGCGTCTGGGGACAAGAAGGGGAATGGGACGTGAATTCCTGGGGGGCAGAGGGCCCCACTTCCCTGACAGAGGCCAAGCATGGGGAAGCTGCAAGGTCATTTTTAGAGCTTAACTCTATTTCTGGTAACCTAAGTCACACACACTCGCTACCAAACTCCCAAGCATTGTTCTCGGCCTGTTTCTAGTAGATGACAGGACATTCCTGACTTTGTGTTTTCTCTTCTTTCTCACTTCTGAGAAGGAAGACCCAACCCTGCTCTCCTTCCTTAAGTCACCTTTGATTTTTTTATTTTAAGCCAGGCACTGGTGGCTCACACCTGTAATCAGTGACTTGGGAGGCTGAGATGGGGAGGGTCATGGATTGAGGCCATCTGGGGCAGGAAGTTCTCCAGACCCCATCTGAACAGATACCTGAGTGTGGGGTGCACACTTATCCCCCCAGCTTGGGGGAAGCTAAAATTGGAGGGTAGTGGTCCAGGTCTTGGGCAAAAGTGAGCCCCTCTCTCCAAATTAACAAGAACAAAAAGCCTTGGGTAGAGCACCTGACTGGCAAGTGCAAAGCCCTGAGTTCAAGCCCTAGTACAATTTTTAATTGATCCTTAAAAGGAACCAACTTTATTGTCGTACAGTTCATACAGGATGAGACGCACACGTTTTAATGGGGTTTGATGAGCTTTGGCAGATGTCTGCGCCTGTGGGCTGTCACCTCGATGCAGATGGAATTGTGTCCATCTCCCATCCTAGAGGCTGACACCCTCCTCACCCCTGGGGTGCGGGAACAAGGGGTTGCCATCACTGCACCTGTTCCCTGACCTCGTATAAATGGACCCACAGGTTTACTGTCCTGCCTGAGATGCCTCGGGGTCTGTGTGTGCTCAGTTTATTGACGAGCACTAATATTGTTGAATATGGCAGAACTAACCTTCACTTCGTAATGGACAGTTGGGCAGCTGTTTCCAGTTTGGAGCTACCATGAATAAAAGTGCTGTGAACACACACCTAAAAATTGCGTGGACACCCGTTCTCCTTTCTCTTCTGTTAATATGCAGATATGGAAATGCCAGATGTGGTGAATGCATGCCTACCTGTGTGAGAGCCTTTCAAACTGCTGTCAAAGCGTGTCCCATCTTTTTGTTCCTGCCAGCGATCCGCGAGGGGTCCAGGTGCTCCATGTCCATGTCGGCACTTGGAATTGTCAATCTTAATTTCAGACAACTTGGTCGTCTTTTGAAAATTGAAAGGTCTCAGTCTTCACGAGGTCCCCCTCATCAAACACTGCTTTTCTGGCTCTGCTTTGTGTGTGAAGTTTAGAATTTTTTTCCTATTTGGGTCTTGATCTTCTCTGTTGATTTTTTTCTAGACATTTAGGTGTTCCATCCCACTTGAAATTAATTGCCGTATGACGTGAAGTAGGGCTCGACGTGTTTCTTCCAACAGACATCAGCTGTGCTAGACTTCTTCCTTTTTGAAGGCTGGCTTTTCCTCGTTGACTTGGGCTTACGGCTCTGTCATAACGTGCCGTGAGCTGTGCAGCTCTGTTTCTGGATAACCCAGCATCAGTCGTCACGGGAGTCCAGATCACAGCTCGGAGGCCTAAAGAGCAGAAGCGGGTCTCGTGGACCCGTCCTGTGGATAAGAGACCCACCCTCAATTGCCTACGTAAAGGCCTTATTTACCTATAGAAATGTAGTCACTGTGGGATTAAGCTTCAAGTATGAATTTTGGGAGACACAAGCATGTTCACCACGACTACACTGTCCCTGTTCTGTCCTGTGTCTGTCTGTATAGGTGTCTAGATCCCTGCTGCTTTTATATTAACACTTGAAGTCAGATGCTGTACTTTTTCAACTTTGTTATTTTTCAGATTTGTTTGGCCATTGTAATTCTTTGCATTTTTCCTGTACATTTTGGAGTCATCCTTTTCAGTTTCTATTCTGAAAACCTGTTGAGATTTCGATTGGTAGATCATGAATGTACAGATCAATTCGAGGGCAGGAATGTCTTAAAATACTGTATCCACGGATAGGGATCCATTATCTTGCAATTTCTCTCAACAATGTCTTCGTGTTTCAAGCGCAGAGACTGTACATGGTTGCAAATTATTATGTCTTTGATGTTAGCGTAGGTGAAATTAAAATTTTTCATTTCCCAATTGTTGTTAGTCCATCGAAATCAAATTGAGTTGCATTGTGTGACGTCATGTGAGGAGTTCCTGATAGCGTTTAGGATTTTCTGGAGGGCAGGGACATGTGTGGAACGTTAGCCCTTTTCTACACAGGTGTCGAGGACGCGCTGGAGATGGGCTCCAGGACTCTCCAGACAAGGCCCGAGAAGATCACGTCTCGTCTAAAGTGACATAAAATGTGTCTCTAAGCCACACACATGTCCTGTGCACTTAAGTCATTTCTAGCAACTTAGGTGAGAGGCACACGACACGGAAATAGCTGTTACACCGAACTGTTCGGGAACAGTGACGGGAAGGGGCCACACGTTCAGAACGGACGCAGCCGTTGGAGGCCCAGCTACCCAGCCCGTCTTAGCAACAGCACAACGCTTCTGGGGCATATTCTTGATTCCAGGTTTTGGGATCCAGGTCCTAAGTCGTGGAGGCCGCAGACACAGAGGACCAACTGTATGGCTGTATGGCTGCACTTGATTTGCAACTGCTCTGTTGAAACCTTCTGCGTCTGCATCCCTGGGAGATTGGTTGAAGTTTTTCTTACATGCTTGTCATCTTGCCACCAAGGTTATGTTACCTGCTTAGAACGAGCTGGCAAAGATTCTTCCTCATCTTCTTTATGAATGAATTTGTGTAAGATTGGTGAGAACGTTGGGGCCTTTTGTTGTTAAGTCTACTTCCGGCTTAGTCAGTTTTGCACATTGCATCTGTCATCCACTGACCTAGCTTGACGGCTGGGTGTCGCCTTCTTTCCTCTTCACATCCTTGTGTTTGTTTTTGGCGGTGTTGCTATGTTGCCCGAGCTGGCGTCCCGCGATGGGTTCAAGGCTCCTCCTGCCTCAGCCTCCCAAGTACCTTAACACTCGCCATTGATTCTTTTCCCTCGCTGTTCTGGGACTGAACGAGGCGGCCACGCCAGGCCGGGGGTCTGACATGGTGGAGGAGACACGACTGCAGCCCTGAACACCGAGGCCTTTCCGCAAGGACAGCTGCGCCCCTCCTGCATGGCTGCCGCTGCTGCGCTGTTGTCTCTGATTTTCCACTAACAACTTTACCAATTTTGTTAATCTTTTTGAAGAAATGGTTTGCTAATCTTCTAATTTATCTGCTTTGTATTTCAGTCTTTTCTGATTTTCTTTCTCTCCTCTCCCAATGACTTCAATTCTTCTCCTGCCTCGTTCTGTGGAAACTTTGAACACTGCTTTGAAAGCTTTCTTTATTCTGTGTGTGTGTATATGTGTGGTGTATGTGCATGGTGGTGTGTGCATATATCCGTGTGTATGTGCGTGTGTGTGTACACATTGTGTGGCACTGAAATTCTGCAAACTCGCTAGATTTAGGCTGCGTCAGGTTGCGTTTGCCCTAAAGAAATGGTAGGGTTCTTACACATGCAGCTGTAATCTTACACATGGGGCGAGATTAAATCTGCCAACACACAAAGAAAGTGAAGACTTGAACAATTTGCATCTGCCTGGATGGCTTCCTACGTACCAGCAACTACGACATGCTAACTATAAAAACAACAAGAAGGTGCACAGTGGAACTTGACCGTAAGAAGGGAACAGAAGTTGCATGGTGCACGATGAGTTCCACAGACACCAGTGCTGGACGAAGCCAGACCCTGTGTGCCTCCATTTACCTGAAGTTCCAGGACGCACAAAATTCATCAATGCTGAGAGCATTCAGAGCCCTGGTTATGGGGCAGGGGCACTGAGAGGGTTTTATGGCTTAATTTGCATGGAGGTGGCCTGGTGGCCCTGTGTAAGGTCATGACCCCATACACTTACTTGAGAGGAGTGCAAGTTCTCCTTCCTTAGCTATGATCTTAGGAATCCCTTCTAGATGGCACACAGAGCTGCCCACCCTTCCTAGTGGCAGACGAGTGTCTGTGTCTGGACATCCTTCTGTCTGCTTATCCTCCATCGTGGCCTGCTCGCCACCAGGACTCTGTGCAGAATGAAGGCTAGAACTCAGCTTTGGTCTTTCTCTTTGTGTTGCCGTGGGGCCTGAGTCAAATCAGTTTTTTGTCCTTGGTTATGCTCAGTTTTATCTGCAAAATCGGATTTAGATGTAAAGATAACACTCACAATATTTTGAGCAGGAAAGATGGAGCCCTGTGACAGAGTCCGTCTGGGAAATGTCTGGGGAGACAAAGTCTGGCGGGTTTCTTGGCTGTGGGGCTTTGCAGTGTCCTCCTTATGGGATAGGAGGATAAACCTCCAAGCGGGGACGAGCTCTTTATGATCTTCCTAAAAGGGACATCCCTGCCTTTGGTGCACGCAGAAGCTTTCCAGGATAAGCTGCTGTGTTAAAGTCGGTCACCTCCTCAAGCCATGAGGCCCAGCACGCAGGAGAGACAGCATGTGCTCAGTAAGTGTGAGCATTTTGAAAGCATGAGTAGAGCCTTTCGCTGCTCTGCCTGAAGCCTTCAATTGCCTCTTACTATCTTCAGAGCAGAATCCCATCCTGTCCATTGTGCTTCTCCACCCAGGGGTGGGGGCAGCGGAGTGCAGGCACCTTCTGCTCAGAACTCTGGAGTCAAATCCTGACATGTCCCAGGTGCATGGCCTGTGGTCTTTCTGAGTCTCGGTTGACCTGTCTGTGACAGAGATGGGGTGCCTGCCTCTCAGGAAAGTTGTGGGTTGTGAGCACAGAGGAGATGGGAGCCTCAGGCTGCCCACCATGAGTGAAATGTCTTCCGCTATGACGAAACCCCAGACAGGTTTGAATTCCAGCCCTCAGCCCTAGCCCTCCAGCTGCTCTCCTGTGAGGGTCACCCATCATTCGTGCATTCATTCACTCATGCCCTCACCCAGCACCTATGACGGACTCTGCACTGTTCCAGGCAGGACCCCAACTGCCACCCCACCTCCTGGGACACACACACACCTCCTGCATCCAATAAGCGGGTTGGGGAGGGCTGTGATAAGAAGCCCCAGGCTGGGTTCCTTGCGGTGCAGGAGAGTTGGTGCCAGGCCCATTCCTGACTCTGAGGGAGAGCCTGGCCATGTGTTTGGAGGACAAAGTTGCTTAGAAGGAGGGAAAAAGCCCTGGGCCTGACCTCACCTGCTTCCTGTCCTCACAGTGGCTGCCCCTTCTCCGGTCAAGCATCTCAGCAGCCACCTGTCCCCTGTCACCCATCTGCTGGATTGCCATGGCTGCCTGGCTGGACAGAGGTCCACCAATGGACAGGCAGATGGGCACTCCCGCCCTCCTCTGGTCACCAAGTGTCCCTCAAGCATAGATTCTGATGTCACAGAAGGTGGGGGACATCAAAGCCCCACCTTCCTCCCCACCCACTTGAGTTTTTTACCTTCCTTCACATTTTTTTTTCATGAAGACCAAGAAGAAATCTGTTAGATTACATTTCAGGAGGGTGACCTTCCTGACCTCTTTTAGTCTGTATTTGCAAGTTTATATTAAAAATATAAAACTAATAAAAGCCATTTTACTTAGAATTTTATGAAGAGCATTGTAGACCCACAAGCTGCAGAGCTATCTCAGTACCCATCCCTGTACACCCTGCCTCCCCGTGGACTCAATTTGCACCGAACCTGCAGACCTCCCGGGGAGAAATGCTCTTTTCCGGGTTGAGTCTTCAGTCCATGAACATGGTACACCTCTGCAGTCGCTCACATTTCCTGGTTCTGTGATCTTCAGTTTCCGACAGAAAGATCTTGTACGTGCTCTGTTAGATGTACGTAAAAATACTTCATTTTATTTGGGCTTCCTTCGTATTTTAAATATGTGAAGAAATCATTAATTTCCCACATTTTTAGGTGCTAATTTTCCCAAACATGATTTGCATCCAATAATCTCCTTATCGACACCTACTGTTTATGAAGCATTTCATGGAATTGTTTGTGTCTTCCTCTTGGCTGCAACTCTGCAGGTGGTGGGGTTGAATCTGTGTTATTGACCATCGTATTTCTGATGTCCACCAAGCAGCTTGCTATGGAGGAAATGTTCGGCAAAAATATTTGTTGAAAGAATGAATAATGAACACTCACAAACTGTGGGCCCTGAGGCTGGGGGCTGTGTCCGCTGAATACACTTTCGAATTTATGGTAGTTGGCTCTATAAATATTTATTGAATGAAGAAGGTAGATGATATGATTTTTAATTTACCAATGAAGATGCTGTGGCCCAAGGAGACCGAGGAGAGTATGACCAACTCTGGCCAACCTACTGTGTGCTGGACCTACTGTGTGCTGGACCTACTGTGTGCTGGACCTGTGCTAAGTATTTCCCCTACAATCCTTCATTTGATCCTCATCACCTGCTTCTGTTGGGGTCATCATAGTCCTTAATGTCACACTCCCTTCCCGAGTGCAGCTCCATTTCATTCCAAACCTTTTAGCTTACCACAGTAGCTGAGGCAAGTTCAGCTCAAACAAAGGAAGGTGCCATCCTCGTTGTAAGTAGATGTGAGGTTTCCATGAAACTTTTTGAAATGTCACATGTAGCTCCATTTCCTCCCTCCAGATATTTCATAAACCTGCACCCCTTCCTCCCCACCTGTCTCCTGTATGTCATCGTCACCAACGTCTGTGACGAAAACATCTCAAGAAGTTTCTCAGCGTGACCGACCTGCACTGCTTCAACGCGTGTGCACCTAGGTGGAACAGGGCCATCCCCGTTTATAGATGGCTCAGAGTGACAAAGTCACATCCTCAACGTCACGCGGCTGGCGAGACGCACAACTGAGATCCGATCTCCATGCTCTGATGCCACAAGAAACTGCCCTTCCGTGGAAAAACTCAAGTCCAGTGAGAGAATGAGACCGGCCAGACCAGTCAAGAGGAAAGCGGCTCAAGTCCAGGCTCCTGTGTTCCCAGGGCGCTCTTTGCGCACAGCCGCTGGCCTCTGTGACTCCTCTTCCTGATCATTTCACGACAAGGCAGGCAAGCACTGCCCACTAAACTAGTCACAGGGCACAAAGAACAAACTGCAGCCACAAAACCAGAAACTACCAGGGAGCTTTCTGGGAAACCCCAAGCGTTCGGTTGGGAGACCCCAGAGAAGCGTGGCGTTTCCTGGGGATTTGGCGGACAGGTCCTGGGGGCAGCAGCTGGCGGGGTGGAGGGAGTCGAGAAGTGGGGAGGAGAAAAGAGGAGCGGACGTGTGGCCTGGAACAAGGAAGGAAGGGATGAATGGAGGAGGGCGGGAATGAACGGAAAACGAGAATGATTTGAGCTCTGCAATTAACTTACCATCTTGAGAACTTACACTGCCAAGGGAGAAATCTGTCTCGAGCCCAACAAGTGAGACCAAACCGGGCTCCGTGCTCAACTCCTGTCTCCCAGACACACCTGGGTTCAAATCCTGGCCACTGTGACATGTCACTTGGGAAGGTGACATCATGTCTCGAAGTCTCACTATCTGATACACCAGGACAACCATGATGTATGCCTGTGGGCTCCTGGGAGGGCTAAGTGGGGATGCCTGATGGTCCCCTCCCCTCCTTTCCCCTCTCCTCTCCCCTCTCCTCCTTTACCTCCCCCCTTCCTCTCCTCCTGTGCCAATTCAGCTTCCTAAGGGAAGAGGCCCAAGGAGAAAGGATATCTGGGGAGACTGAGTTTATGGGCCAAGACTCAGGCCTTAAACCAGAACCCGGTGCTTCAGCGGTGGAAGCAAGGCACATTTATAACAAGAAAGGCCACCTGAATGCGTGCCCCGAGAACCTGGGGACCTGTGTTGTCAGAGCTTCAGAGCTTTTCAAGAGAAGTCAGAAAGTTGGTCTTTCATGTGAAATCTCCTGACTTATTAAAGTTGGCCACAAATTCAACTTTAGAGAAAAATATACAGTGTGGCCCAAATGCAGGTAGGGTTTGCAGACTGATTTACTGTGTGTCTGCAGGACAGCAGGTGCCATGCTGGGCCCAGGTCTTGCCCTTGGAGTTTCTACGTGTGATGGATGCCACAGATACCTCTAGTGCTCCCTAAAGTCAGCAAAGGTGAGTTCTGGAGGGAGGTCCAACGGGATCTTCTGGACCCGATGTGGAGGCTGAAGACCAGGGAGGAGCTGCTGTCAGACAACGGCCGGACCAGAGCTGTGTACGGCAAGCATGTGCCCTAGGAGGGTGGGTCAGGTGCTGTGGGAGACTTCCTAACCCTCATTGGCACCTGTCACAACTCCCACAGAGATAGATGGCTGAAAACAATAGACGTGGAGACCCTAATCAGTCAAGGTGAGCTGTTCAGTAATCGGCTTGTCCCACGCCTCCTCACCAGCCTCTGGGGAGAACCCTTCCCGTCTCTTGCAGTTTCTGGTGGCCGCCATGTTCCTTGGCTTCTGGTCACATCCCTCCAACCTCTAGCTCTGTGGTCACATAGCCTGTTCTTCTCTGGGTGTGGAACCCCCCTGTTGCTCTCTTTGAATCTCATGTATCCACATGGGATTGTGCTGGGGCCAATGAACAATTTTATCTCAAAATCCCTAATTTAAACACGCTCACGAGGTCCTATTTTGAGGTAGGAGGTGACATTCACAGGCCCCAGGAATTAGGACCTGGGTATCCTTGGGGGGGATTCTCCAGCTCACTACCCTATCCTGGGGACAAGCTCTGTGCAGGCATAGCCCTGAGGCCAAGCCGTTCTCAGGCTGCCCAGCAGTGGAGAAGATGAGGGCTCCTGCAGCGGGAGGCTGGGCTGTGTCACCTGTCTGTACTGAGACGGTGCTAACACAGAGACTCAGGGATGCCTAAGCCGCCTGCACCCCTGGGCCAGGGACCGTGTTTGTCCCTCCCGGCCTCTGCAGAGCTCAGCATGAAGCCTGATGCATAGTAGGTGCACAGTGTTTGACGACAGCTTGCTGCCTCCGGCTGTGTCTTCCTTCTGTGAAAGCAGCAAGTGGGTCCCGGGATGTCAGAGCAGCTGAGGGGACAAATGCATCCATTTGCACATGGCCTTAGTCTAAGCTTGCCTGCTGGGGACACAGGCCACACCAGAAATACCCTTCTTCATGGCCCGTTAACCTGAAGGCTGAAAGAACTGTGAATGGAAGACCAAAAGGGGAAAAAAGAACCAGGATTAATTTATGAGGTGTTCCACTGCCTGGATGGCTCGTTGTTCCCCTGTCCTGGCACAGCCACCCCGATGTGCTTCTAGACTTACTGTATCTCGACACCCAGGCCTCTTTTGTGACGTGCCAACTCTTCTGCTGTTATTGTTCTAGGCACCTCCTTTGGTCATTGGACTAATTTATTTCAGTTGGAATTTCAGGACCAGACACAACTCTTATTACTCACTGCTTTGGAGAGGGAATAACAGAGCAATTGAAGTTTGGAAAAATGAAAAATATGTCCAGAACACTTTGGGCCCTGAGGCCAAAAAGGAAAAAGAAGGGGCGTGAGTGTGGTGGTGGTGGGGTTTTCTGGAGGGGAAAACCAGGCAGGCTCACCTCGTCATGCGCGGGGGGCCTGGCCTGTCTCGGAGTCATGGAGTCGAGCAAGGCTACAGACAAGTGAATCAAGGACAGCACACTGCGACTTCCTGACACCTGTGGCCTCCCGCACATGACTGTGGGGGCAGCAGTGGAAGAGAGGAGTGTGTTAAGTTGGGTCTCAGGCTGCAGGTGAAGGAGAAACCCCGCAGGGCTGATTGGATCCCTAAGGCCAGACCCAAGACTCCTCATGGAAAATTAACTAGAAGTAGGATTCTGACATGTGACAGTCCGACACCCTTCCTCTCAAGGTAACCCAATGCTGAGAAGCAGGGAGGGGTCTGGGCTGAGCATCGAGGTAAGAGGAACCCCAAGCAGACAAGGGTCGCTGGAGCTTGAAGGGCAAATGTCTCCCTTGCCACATGTGTCAGTATGAAACGTGTGGCTTCAGTGCTCCCGGAAGTCCTGGTAGAAGCCCGGTGTTCTTCTGCACATGCCCAGCAGAGAGGGATGGGCTCAGTCAGCGCTGACTGCAGAACTGCTGGGGTGACAGCGGGCATGAAGGACAAGTGGTGTCCCTAGGCCACGGATAAGGGCTGGACCATAAAGCAAACCCCATACTCATTGCCTGTGAGACCTGGAACTGTTCACTGAACCTTAGGCGAGGATAAAGATGTCTGTGGGCACGGAAGCTCACCTGTGCAAAAGTTCTGGACAGTTGTATTGAGGCTGGCACACTATTGTTGGGTGCAGGGCACCCACCTTTTCGTGG